GGAGCCAGCACGAGGAGTCGAGGCCTGTCTCATGCTTTATAGGGACTTTTATAAGTCTGTTCACTTGTAACAGTAGACACTAAAGCACAGAGTTTTAAAACATTTTTGTTTCATGCCGTGTGGTGTAGGGCCCAACCTTCCTGGCTCTGAGTTGCTTAATGAAACCTTTTATGGCCCAGAGCTGCAGCTGTTGATGAGACACGTGGTGCCAAGTGACTCGACAGCATCCACTCCCAAGTGCCTGCCCCCGGCTGCTTCTGGGGGCTGGACAGGCAGCTCGTGTGGCCCTGCTTGGCTAAGCATGACCCCTCAGGGTGGCAAAGCCCTGTCACAGTCCTGAACTTGAACCAGGAACTGCGGCTGGGCCACGCAGCCAAGGTGTCCTCGTAGGATGGGAGAGACCTCCCAAGATGAGCAGTCCAGCCCTGGTCAAAGGAAGGAAGAGCTGCCCTAATCATTTCTCATGGGCAACAGTGTGGGCTCCTCAGTTCTTCTCTTGCTGCAGCTTAAGCCCACCTCTAGCACATGGAGATGGGAGGGAAACCTCCTCTGGCCAAGCTGCTGCATCAGGGCTGAGCTTCTGGAGCCACCCATCGCTGGCAGTTCTAACACCAAGGCCAGTGTGTGTGCAAGGTCACTGCTGGGCTTGAGCACGGGAGCCCGTGCTGCAAGTCACAGATCTGCAAGGAAAATTGAAAAGGAGGGGTCTGGCCATGTGGTACCCATAAAAACGAATGCAAAATGTTTCAAAAGTATATGAAATCTGCAGATACGGGGTTTTGTGTTTCGAAAGTGTTGAATATTAGAAAAAAACTCAACAGGAGTTTAAACAAACACAGGCAAATGAGTCAGCAAGAAGATATAAAATCATCAGGAAAGGCTGAGTTTGTTTTAGCACAGGGATTACTGTAAACACCAGGAGTGCATGGTAACAATTTGTAGCCCATGTGTTTTGAAATATCATAACTGGTGTCAATAAACACATTAAAATTCAACTTCAGAGAGCTTTGCGGACGTTTAGAGTGTCACGAAGACATTGCAAAACAGAGAATTTAGATGGAAATAAGTATGGGAGCAATCAAACACAGCTCCTATGTGAAGAAAGGGATCTTGTCAAGTTGTTAGGGCTAAGCATCTGTGATGGTGATTATTGCTTCTTACTGGCTAAGAACTGCTCTCAGCCCCTGATTTCTTTCACACTGTCTCCCTCGCCTTCCACCCTGACCTGCTTGTTTGTCTCACCCACCTGCTACATCTCACTTCTCAGACCGAATTCTTTTGAGCAGGTCCTGCCCTTGGCTGTTTGTTTCTGCAGTCCTCGGGAAAGCCCGACTGATTTCCGGGCGCTATCTCAATATAAATAATAAATTCGGTTTGTATCTGGACCAGAATGACTCGTGGTGCAGAGTAAGTGTTGTCCTCACGTGCTGACTCCATAAAGGGTGTCTATCATCACCATGATGTTTGATGTGCTCGATTCTTCCATGCGCCGGGACCTGCTGCTCCAGGTTTTTGGGGCACGGAGAAGCCTCCGTTCTGTCTGCCCCACGTACAGTTTCAGTGGTGGTATTCTGAACAGGAGATTTTTGTCCCTTCTCGTTCACACTTCCACTGGGTTGAAATACCCTCTTTTCCTCAGTTTTTCTCTTGTAGTATTTATTTCCGATGCATTTGGATTCACTCCATAAATGCAGTCTTACTTGTGACACAGATCATATGTGTGCTCCAGGGAGATGGTTCTACAACTGTGATCTTTCAGCTGCAAAAGCGCAGACTTTTAACACTTTAGTCAGTCCTTTGGTTTGTTTTGGGGATATCCTAGGAAGTGCCAAATTACTACTGTATGCAAAAAGGCAGTATACTTCTGTTTACACGACTCTCTCTGCCTTGAGACTCACGTCCACCACGTGCCAGCCTCTTGTTTTTCCTTATTTTTGTCTTTTTGGTTCATTTAATGCGTTGCTTCACAGCAATCAAAAGTTCCAGCTTAAAATCTGCTTGGAAAGCTGCGTTGGTCGTCCTGTTGACAGAGCTACTGCCCCAGAGCTCGCTCTTAGCCAACAGCCCAACTTCTGTCCTCCCCATCCAAAGAAGACAATGAGGAAACTGTAAGCCAAGAAGATAATCAGCAATTTAGAGGGGTTATAAACAGAGATGGAGGAGAGGAGATATGCCCCAGTAAGGTGGAGGACGTATCTTGACTAAGAAATCTAAATTATTTTATGGAGAAATTGGTGCTGATTCATCAAGACCCCGTCAAGTTTCTGAAGGCTGAGGCAGGTCTTCCTTGGAGCTGTATGTCTGAGATTTCCTAATAGCTGCGTGAGCCAGCAAAAGCAGTTGCCTGTAGGAAGGTGAGAGACTCAGAGTGGAATGAGTTTGGGGAATGAACAAATTCCTTGCAGTTGTCCCCTTTTCTGTGAAACAGAAAAGAATAATGATTCCGTGGATTTCATTAAGGGATTCTCTGATGAAGCGTTGTAATTTCTGGGTTATCACCTATTTTTGGTGCACTATAATCACATCACCTCAACTGCTGCCCTGTGCTGTGCCTGTTCAGAGTGGGGTTACACCCAGAAAACTGCTGAGGATGACAAGACCCACATAAATGCAAAGGAAAAACAGGGAAGATATCAAAAGAATCTGGTGTAGAAAGGCATGGAGAGAAGCATCTCTCCCTCAGTCTCTGGTCCTCCTTGTCTCTCTTTTTGGTAACGCTTTCTAGATGTGGAAAGGCATTTATCCCTGCTGCTACTGATGCTGCACGTGAGTCAGGCCCTGGGGTTCCCGTGGGCATACAGACTGAAAGGACAAGCCCTGCCGTGCCGGGGGGATCGTGCCGTGCACGTGGAACAGCAAAGCAAAGGGACACACGTGAGCTGGTGAGGGAAAAGGTGTGCTCAGCGCTGGCGTACAAGGCAAGACTGGCTGTGAACAACACGTTTAACTGTGTCTGGTTTTTTACAGTCCAATGGCTGTGGGGCAGAGCTCATTCATGTTTGCTGTGTTGTGGGAATTACGTTATTACTGTGTTTCCAATCTGCCTCTCACCTTCCAGTTCATAGTCCGTCCCATGAAGAGGTGACAAACAGGGGACACCATCTAGTCCAGATGTTAGCAGCTCGTGTGGAATGGATTTGCTCTTCTCGGTCCAGTTCCTTATGCATCTCTGCACAGCTGGCAGCCCCTGGCAAACGTCAAAGGCCAAAGACAGGCTGGCATTCTGTAAATGAGCCATCTTTCCTTTCCCAAGCGAAATCTTGCCATGCCAGTGTGAGCTATACCACCAGGTGAGCACGAGAAATTTTCGATGTCTCATATTGTCTCTTCTGCGAGTTCAATTTACAGCCGAACACCAGCAGTAATTTCACTTATTGCAAACCCTGCAGTAACAAAGTTAATTCACACGTGCCCTTTTTAAGGTGATTTATGGCAGAACCAGCGTGGGGGAACAGATGAGCTTTCCCGTGTCTGGCTTCAACTGCCATTTAATAATCGCAGTCGATATCGCCTTGTTTTAATACTCAACATCCTGTTCGAAACGGAGCGCTTCGCTGCGAGCTGCGTGGAGACCACGCAGGATTAAATGGGGCTTCTAGTGGGATGCCTGTAACAGCCTCTTAAATGATTAGGACACCTGTTGACATTAATATAGAAGCATGCATGGAAACAAGTGTGCCACACACTGGAATATATGTACACAAATATTAAGAGGATTAGAGAAATTGCTCAAACGGGTAGAGTGGCATTTCACGCACACACGTCTGGAATCTAGGCAGAATGGGAATAACATAGAGCTGATCCCTTTTTTTCGGTGGTTCATCTGGGGTATAAATGTCTCTGTACACAGAGGTCATTCACTTACACTTAAAATTTCTGTTTAATATATATCTTTGTTTGGAATCTGCCTCTAATTCATAACCACCCTCATTTAGTAGCTAGCACCTTTGCCATGTGAGCTGCGGGGAAAAAGTAATTAAATTTAATAGAAGCCACCCTTGCTTTGAAGCTGCCCTGGATTTAGAGCCACAAGGAGAAGCAATTAAACTCTGGCAGACAAGGATTCAAGCTGAAGTTATATAGCGATTTTTTTTTTTTTTTTTTTTAAAGGAAATTTTCTCTGTAAACGGATTTGGATTGTCAGATCTGATTGGATTCAAAGCTATAGAAATTTCCTTCTCTGGGAAAGCTTCTCTTGAAGCAAAATTTAAAACAAAACGAAACAAAAACCAAAACCAAAACAACACAACAACTAGATGTGAAATGAGGATCAGTTTTGAAGATCTAGGGTATTTGTAATCCTTCTGAACAAACATCCAAAAAAGAGTTTGTTGTTCTCAGCACAGTGCTGAATGGCAAAGGGAAGGATGGAAGGAAGACGTCTGCATGTCTGTTTATTTGCAGGCAGGTCAGCTTGTCAGCAGCCTGGGATATAGATCATTAGAGGAAGGATTTCTTTGCACTAGAAGGCATTATAGGCATTGTTTAAAGCTGTCAGGGCTTTTTAAACCAGCAAGAGACAGAAATTATTATTTCACTTTTGTGATTGTACCAAAAAATAAACTTTAATTAACAAGGACAGGAAAAAAAGACTCCAGAATGCCATAATCAGTGCCAAATGTAGTTCTACCTATTTAAAAATATTTTTAGAAATTCCCTATAAAGGATCAGAAAGGATTCAGTTGAGAAGGGTCTGCTTCCAACGCAGATGTTATTCAGAAAAGCAAACTGGTAATTCAGTTAATACTTACAGGGAGGCAAAATTGTCCTAATCTTCAACTCTTGGAAATGTTTGTAGAGTCTTAGCGAAGCCAGAGGCATATGTGAGAGATTTGATTATTGTCATGCATATATTTTGCAATTCACGCTTTTCTATTCTGAGGAAAAAAAAATGCTCTTGGGCTCATTACAGGGATACACTCGTGGTCCATGACCTGTGGAACCGACTCGGTGAATTGATAGTCCTCTGGCTGGAGTCATGGAGAAGCTGTGCTGGCCATATGCAGGGAAGTGCCTGGGATCAGGGAACTTGCTGGGAAAATGTAGTATTTATCACTGGCTGTTGTGAGGTAGTTGGGAACAGACATGTTGGAGCAGCAGCTGTACATCCCCGAGAAGACTTCCCTGGCAATGGTGACCAGCCTGTAGAAGGGGAACGGGCAAACAGAGCCGGGGAGCTGTTCTGGGGAGCCATCAACTCTGCGAAGAGTGTTTGGCCCCGACGCTTGGATGTCCCAGCTGTAATCTTTGACTCTGGGTCTGGGTTATTCAAAGCAGGTATCACAGGTGATACAGACCCAAGGTCTGTTCTTACAGCAGTTGTTGGTCACCCAGAAGTCAAAGCTACAATGCTGGGAGCTGGACAGAAAGAATGTTACATTGGAGAAGCAGCTCAGTCCAAAAGAGGGGTCCTGCCTTGGAATTATCTGATTGACCGGGGCATAGTTACATGCTGGGGTGGTATGGAGAGGATCTGGAGACAGGTCTATGAGTGTGAGCTGAGACTTAAAGCCAGTGAAAGGCCAGTGCTGCTGACTGAAGCTCCCCTCAATCCTCTGCAGAACCAGGAAAAAATGCTGGAGGTCATGCTCGAAGGCTTCATGGCGCTGGCTGTGGATGTTGCAGTCCAGGCAACTCTGGCACTCTGAGCATCAGCCCGTATCACTGGAGTAGTCGTGGACAGCGGGCAGTAGTCATGGGCAGTCATGCCTGACTGCTTTCAAACAAATGTGGGTCACCAGGAGTGGTTCCAAGCGTTTTGGGGCAGCTATCACTCACTGGGAATGCTTTTAAGCATGTCAGCCCAAGTGAACGGCTCGCTGCAGCAACGCGTGAGCAAGAAACCCTGCTGAGAGCCGGCTGACCTGAAAGGTGCTGCAGCTGTTCCTGCAGCTATTGACTGACAGAACCTGTATGAAAATAAAACATCAAAAACATTGGTAGCAAGGACCTTCTTGTTTATCATCCCCTTTCCCTCTGCAGAGTTTACAGGTGTGCACATATCCCAGGGATGCAGTAACTCAGCTGACTCCCAGCCTGCCTTGGAGTCGCGTGGGGAGCAGCGTACCTCCTCTGCTGGGAGACTCTTCCCTCTAAGGTCTTTGAGATATCTGGGGTTTGTATTCTAAAACTAGCTCTCATGTTATTTTTGACCTCATTAAAAACATTTCCTTTAGAAACCCAGCAAAGCCCCAAACAGAATCCAAATATAAATCAATGCAAATGCAATTACTGTAACCGACCCTCCTCTGTGCCTGAGGGTCTGCAAAAATCCATTGATTCTCTGCTGTAATTTATCTGGGAAGTAAGAACACCCAGTTTCGCTTCCAAGTACTATCCCTGAATCAAGATGCTCCCTGGAGGGAGCAGCGTGGCCGGTGCAGCTGCGGAGGAGTGTGAGCTCAGCCCGGCGGAGCCTGTTTGCGACGGGGGGATCTGGACCGTTTCACTGATGCTCTGTGCTGGCATCCCCTGCCAGGCACAGCACCATCCTGCGCAGGATGTCTGGCTCCGCGGCGGCAGGGACCCTCACAGGGATTTTTGACATCGACTCTGGACGGTGTAAGGCTGGTCTGCCAGAGCACCACCAAGCATCGTGAGCATATCCAGTCCGACATCCTAAGGAGCATGCTGTTATCAGGCAGCCTGACTCTTTTCCAAGGTTTCAAGGAGAGGCTACTGAAGGAGCTCCAGACGGGAGTTCCCAGCACAAGATCATCTCACCATAAGGTCAGATGTTCTCTGCATGGTTGGTGCTTCCATCCTTGCCAGTTTAAGGAATATTTGGGCTACCAGGGAAGACTATAATGAGATTGGCCCAACAGTACTCCAGAGAGAATGCTTTTGAAAACTTCAGTAGGACCATCCAGGAATTTTTTTAAGTGCCAATCTGAACAGCTGGAGAGCAGTTAATAAATCAGTACAAAAATAATTGATTTATAGTAAGTGATTTTATAGCTTACCAAAGAAAGGTCCCTTGTGCATTGAGTTGAAGAAAGAGTCCTTGTTCAGGGCGTTTCTGCTATCCAAGATGTTGGTTTTAATTCTAGAAGCGTGTTGATCCCTGCTAGAACTGCAAACAGTTTGTCAGACTTTTAAACACTTGAGAACAAGCCACCTCCACCCCGTGCCCGCGGGGGCTGGCTCCTTGCCATTCCCCATAAACTTCCAGAGAGTGGCGAGAGACCTCGGATGGAGAAATAATGGACTCAGGGGTGTTGCTGGCCCTTCGCCGTGGCTCTGGGGATCTCCTGGAGCAGCCCTGGATGAACTCTGAGGGGACCAAGCTGCTGAATTTGTTGTTGCTCACGAAATGAAGATAAGTTGATCTGGCTGTTGCAGCAGAGCTCTCGGACCTGGCATCTCTCTGTGCCTTGTGACTCCGTCACGCCACGTGGAACATGGCCTCTGCTTGTCCACCTGGGGGATTTCGCTGGTGTGCCAGCAGAAGGACTATCTGATGCTACATTTAGATAACTTGATATACTGTTAATTAAATTTAGGAAATTAATCAGAGAGCAGAAGGTGAAAGGTGTCTAGTTTGGGTTTATTCTTAGAGGACTCCTGAACAAATGTTTTGATGTCAGGCACCTAGAGGCATTGGTCCCTGGCTGACACTGGTTCTCTTTTGGGAAAAACAGAATATGTCAGGAGAAACTGTTATTGCTCTACCTCATCACTGAACGCTAGGGAAAGTGACAAAATAATCCTGCAAATATTTGCTTGAATTACTAAGCAAATCTGCCTCGCCAAGTTCAATTTTTATAAATAATTCCACTACATAAGCTTAATTATCGTAAATACCATGGCTAACTGGTCGAATTTCCAAAGTGAACTATGAAATTCATAACAAATTCAGCAATGAAATCTGCATTCAAATAAACAGCTTGCAAGTTGTGCATTTACAGAGATCATCTTTATCCACCCCTGTAAATACGTGCACTGCCTCCAGTCAGGCAACAGAAATCTCATCACAATGTGTGAAACCGGTTAGCTCTGTGATTTACATATCGGCCAAAAATTATTTGAAAAAAACCTCAAAATATACCTGAGATCTTCTTGAATTTGTTCAAGACTGATGTGAAAATAGGAAAAGAGCTGAAATCTCTCTTGTTAATTTTTCGAGACGGTGTCTGGCTGTTTTCATTCAGCTCTGGACATGAATCTTCAAACTCAGGGATGCCCTCTGCTGCCTTGGGACTGATCGGTCGTCTGTCACCTCCTCTCGCTGCCCTCGGAAGAATCACACCACTTTTCCCTTTCTACAGGACATTTCCAAGTGCTCTGAAGGGAGGCACATCTAACTCCGTGCTCAGTTGGCCACCGAGCCCTGGAGCACTTCCTCAGCAGGGCAAGGAGAAAAACAAAAAGCCTGAAAGATGCAGCTGCGGAGGACGTGGGCAGGGGGGTAGAGGACCATTTGGGGATGACTCCAGCAGTAACCACAGCTGGAATAGACCCACCTAACCTCGTTTTCCCCAGTGGCCAGAGTGAAAGCATAAAGCAAAGTGTCTGGAGAAAAGCACGTGGCTTTCCTGCTCCACTTGAGCCCTAAGGCTTCAGAAAGTTGGGATATAGGTCTCTCCATCAAGTTAATGCAAGTGTTCAGAGCACTTTCAGAGTTGTTACAAAATCAGAATCAGCAATCTCAGATCTTTCTTCTATTACAGTATGTTACCTTTTAGCAGCCCACTGGCAACGTGTAAACAAAAGAGGTACAACTGTAGACACTTTAAATATTTTACAGCTCACTGACTTCTGTAGGAGGAGGGATTTGCAGTAACTTAAGTGTTCAGACTCCTGCTCCGATAATCTACTGCAAATAAAAATGCAGAAAACAGCGTGCTGGAAGGCAGAGGGAACGTGAGCAGCAGTGTGACCCAGGGCTGTGGTCAGGAAGGAGAGGAGCACAGCAAAGAGCCTGCTGCCTCTGCACACCCAGCTGCAGGCACCAAGCGTGTCTGCAGAGTGACACCTAGCCGAGCTCCACGCCTGCTTTCAACAAGATTTTGCCTTTGCAGAGCAAAATTTTGTCTGATGTGATCCAGGATGGATTCATTGGTACCAAACTTGGTTTATATCAAGGGCCCTGGTTCAGCTCCTCCCAGCTGAAAATCATTCAACAAACCAGTATCAGAGGCATGCAGCTCCCACAGGACTGGTTTGGCCTGGCTGTTTCCATTTACCTCTTAGGCATGACTTTGCTCAAGGACACACAACAAGATAGCAGAAGTTGGCACATGTTCTGTGACTCCAGACTTTATATCAGCCTCTTCAGTCTCTTGGGCACCTCATGCTTCTGCCACCGCGCAGGGCACTGGAAACTCATTTCTTTGTTTGTATTTCATTTTTGCTTTGAAGAGGGCTGAGGTCTTAATCGTTTGGGACCTTATTCCCTTGGCCCTCTTGCCATAGAAAATGAACTACAGGAATCCTTTCACTGCTGTGTTTCCACCTAAACTCTACCTGTCCTCTGGATACATAAAGGATTTAAATCGTAAATGCCTGGGATCTTTCTAGCTTCAGGAAAGCAACATTACTCTGGTGGATATGGGACTGGTTGCAGGTTTTAAAGAGGCCCAACTTAATTTCTAGACTTACCAGTGATTCGTTGTGGAATGAAAAATTTAATCTTGGGCACATCAGGCGTCGGTTCCCACTTATAAACACCCTTCTCCTGTTCCATCCTTTGCTTGTCCTGCAAGCTGTCTGGGGTAAGTGATGTCTCTTGCTTTAAGAGCAGGTATGAGTGCAAAGATCCAGGACTTTGGGGCCCCAAGATCAGAAACACAAAATCATTTGTGAAGATTGCCCTGGAGTTACATAAAAATCTCGACCTGCTCCTGGTAATTTTTTCCCCTCCCTCCCCAAGTCTCATTTAAGTTTCAAACCAGCAGCAGCTCTGTATTTTCTTTTAAATGTCAAACAATTCATCATTTTGCACTTTCCCCATTCCCTGTGAATTTAAAGGTTTTATTGGTACCCAGTAATGTCAGCCTGGGACAATGCACCCTGATTACCCAAAACACTGTGGTTCTTGTCGCCCTGCCCGTTTTTGGTTGCGAGCTCTCGAGAGCTGCAAGAGCTCTTGCTTTCTCCCTCTCCTCCCTGTTATCATATGCACAATAAAAAGGCTGGGTTCAAATATAGGCTAGACAAATACTGATTATCTTTATTAGTGAAATCTCCTGTCCCCTGCCCTCGCCCATGCTGCGCCGTGTGAGCACGCTGCTGCAGAAGGTGCCCTCGGCCCTGCCTTGCCCATCACCAGGCTCACGGCGGGCGGCGATGGAGTTGGGGATGGGCAGCTCCCTCAGTTCGTGGAGACCCACCTCCATCTCTCCAACTTTGGAAACATCCAGGTGAGCAGCTGAATCTGAGGGATTTGGTGTGAAGGAGGTAAGAACATTCCAGAGGAGGTGTTGCTCCATGGGGTAAGATGCAGCTCTGGCTGAGAGAGGCTCTGTAGTCGTTATGCACATACCCACCCAAACACGTGCACCCACACGTACACACTGATTTTATTAAGCCATTCCATGCGAGTATTTTATATACGTATATATATTTTTTTTATTTGGAAAACTTCAGAGTGCTTTTTTTCACACACAGTAAAGTTAGCTTCGCTGAGATTCATTAGTCCCCTTTCCCCCCGTGTGTAAATGGATCTCTCTCAGTTATGCAACGCGAGGCTACACAACCATGAAAAGTGCAGAGGCAGCCAAAAAAAGCATTGTTCTGAGCTGGGACGTGTAAAATATTCATATTCAATAACAAAAAAATAAAAAAAGACCCCTTTAATAAAAAATTCACGGCGTAAAATATGCATTGTCGTTCCATCCCCAGGGCTGCAGCCGTTTGCAGACCAACATGTTACATGGGCTTTCACTGCCTTGTTTTACTCGATTAATTCAAAACCAATTCCCTCACAGACATCCCAGAATTAGGTGCCTAAATTGATTCTGATTTCTCTAAGGGCAGTGTATCTATGACTACAGTAGTAGCTGGTAGAAGCTCTGACTGTTCAAAGCATCCGACACGTCGGCCCGACAGCGCGTACGGTGAGGCCGTCCCTGATTCCGGTGGCACGTCTGTGCCTCGAGATGCCAGGCTGGGCACAGAGCAGGAGAGCTCTTTTAGCAGAGTGCTGGGACCACCCTGGTACACCTGTTTCTCGAAGGAGCAAATTAGCCAAGTGTTAATGTGGCTGAGCCGCTCTCCAGAATAGAGGGAGGATGTTTTGAACACGCTGAGACGTCTCCGTCGGCGCTGCCCTACGCCTGCAGAACCACCTGCGGAGCTCGGCACGCGGGGCAGGAGAAAAGCAATCCTCTCGTCCCTGTCTGACCAGAGGGAAACAGAGGCAGGTGGAAATCACCGCTCGGCTCAGACCCTGACCAAAGCGTGCAGCAGAGCCAGGAGTTCAGCTGAGATTTTTCTGCATCCCCATCTGGTGCTGTAGCTGCAAGGTCGAACTGCCCCAGTGTGTGCACGTTCGTCCCGGACGGTGGCGAAGGCAGAAGGACAGGACAAGGGCACCTGAGATGCTGCACCGGCAGGATGCACGAGCATCGTGTCGTCAGGCAGTGGATCTGCCAAAGAGACACAGCACAAGACCCCAGCCCAAGCGCAGAGGGGCTGCGGTGGTTGTCACCCTACCCGCTCGGCTGGCATTAGATCTGCAGCACATCGTGCCCCTCTGCTTGGCAGCGCGGGATTCCGAAGCATCGGTG